CGCGCTGCACACTGAGCAGGTAACGTTTTATGTGACAGGCGACCACAGTCACCTGCAGCTCTTTGTGTAACAGCTTAGTGCAGCAGCTTCTATTCTGGCTCCAACGCTTTTGCAGGAAAAAAAAAAGAAAAAAAAAAACGCTGAAAACAATCTCTGCACACATGAATATCTGACAGGTGTGTCAGAGGAAAGCACAACTTGGAAATAGACAAACCCTTGCATAGTGTCTATCGTGTATTGCTTTAATATTTACACATTCGTAACATAACCTTCATGAGGTATCTGAGGAAGTAGTACAGTATCTGTAAATTTGAATCACAGGAGTCTGACATATGTATACAGAACGACTGCCCCAGCTCGACAGCTTGAAGACCACAGAATGCTTCTCTGGTTGAATTATTCTAAAGTGAAGACGTTTGGTTATGTGGGAATAGTAGACTCTGCCAAAGAAATATCCCACAATATAGAGTTCACTTTTTTAGAAAGTCACTACATCGACTAACTTAATAAATGCAAGAATTGCTTGGATTTAAAGAAAATCAAGATTTATACCTTGTCAACATGCCGTTATGTTGTTTTTATATGCTAAAAGGCACATCGTAAGCAAAATAAACTGTCAGCGCCATTAAAACTGCAACGTACCGATGACAGTCTCAAAAAACGCAGAAACCAATCCTTGTCTTTCGAAACTGTCCGTATCATTATTCTTCTTTGGTTTCCACATTAAACATGTATGGCTGAGTTAGTCTGGTTGTCACTGTTGCACACAGTAGTTTTACAGTGTTTGAACAGAGTCATTTTAAGTCAGGAAAGGGAAAAAAAACATCTTCTAAATGTGAGAATTTGATACACAGAGATGAGTTTTTAGGTGTTTATTGAATAACTACAGAGGGACTTCCAGGACTTTTACTGCTACGTGTCATTTTAATATCTGGAAAAATCCTGGTAACCTTTGCAGCATGAAAGTATTTAAGTTTATATGTTTTCTCATTTCCATAGTTTTCTCTATGGCCTCCTGATGAAGCCCTCCACACCACTAAAAAAAAAAAACATCATGTCATATTAGGCATGTACTGTAATATGCAAAACTGTTTTGCCATTTAACTGGTGACAAAACTCCATTGTTTTTTCTCAGCCTCCACAAACAGCAAACTTACAGAAGTTTTTGACCTCCGTAACATCAAAAATATTTACCTCATGAGTCTTCAATCATTCAGTCCTTGTCAAATTTTCAGTCACGGACACTGAGTCTGGTAAATGGCACAAATGAATAATTCAACAGTCGAAGCAGCCTATCAGAGAAACTAACTCCTCTGGTGTTTGGAGGCTATCTCAGATAGTGGTGTAAAATCCAACAGTCACCATACGCTTAATGAATAAGAGTGCAGATAAAATAGCTTAACAGCCTTTACATTTAGAAAAAGCTTTCTGATCCTTGAAATCTCCAGGCGCCACTCGGGGTTCAAGAAAATGTCCGGTCTGATTTCAATGCAGGAGAGTTGCCCAGATACAATTCACAAAACATTCAGCTCTCAGAAAAGGTTTCTCACACTCTGACATAAAAAAAATAAAAAACATCCCCCAGACGATATATTCCTTCACCAGCAGGATTTTCCTGTGGTGTCATTCAGGTGGGAATTCAGTATTCACTTTTTGTTTTGGTTTCAATTTATCACTTAATAAACTTAAAAAAACCAACTTCTCAACTTCTCATGTCCTACATTTATCCATTCCGCCTCATATGACTTTACAAAACCCCTAAAATCTTCCCCTTTGCTGCCAAGTTACAAGAGAGGAAGATGAGAAATATTCTGGGAGGCAAAAAGATGTAATGCAACAGAGATTTTAATGGCATGAGTTGCCTCAAACAAGATTTACTTTGAACTGACTTGCAACCCAGTTCAATGTTTCTACTTTTCCAGGCAATTTTGATGAAGGTAAAAGTACTACCTCGGCTGCCTCTTTCTGATGCTAAAAGCACTGCTTTTAACAAGAGTTGCAAAACACCTGCTTTTAATCCATGAACAACCTAACAAAGATGGAGACGTCCGTGCACGGTGGTGAGTGTTTCAAAGTCGTCCTATCAAGGAGAGAAGTCTAAAAGCTGCAGTGTCGGGGGAACAAAAGCACTGGAGGGAGAGGACTCTCATTTGGCTCCAGTTCTCCTATAGCAGCCATGATCCCCAGGCTGATGGATGAAGGGAGAAACTCATCTCATGACTAATTATTTATCTTCCCTCCAGAAGTTTTGTGTCTGGAGGTTGGAAATAATACAACCCTTTGCTCTGACCAAGTAGTAAACAAACTAGAATGATGGAGGTGACTGACTCTCCTTCTTCTCCCTCACAACAATGTAGAGCAACACTTCCATACATACAGCCCAGAGACCAAATCTGGTACGTTTGATTTCTCCCTTCCCACGATTGTGTGGATTTGGTTAGGTTAAGAGCGGTATTTTACATTGTGTGGATGACTTTTTCACAACATCGCTGTCATGACGCCTCACCTTGATTCATGCTTTTTCTAACTATGGTGTCAAATAGTGTCAAGGTTACCCCTTCAGCCGCCTCACTGCTGTCCACAGGCTGGTGTAACTGAAAAAGACTAATTTTGACTATTATTGTGCAAGCACGCTCATGATGAGGCAACTTTAATAAAAATTTGGTTCACCTGTGATTTCTCTGCAATGACAAGTCAACATGTCTGTCATAAAAATGTCTGTTGCCATAACTGTAACGTTTTCAAGTATTATCATAAACAGCTAGTTTAACAGGAGGACTATAAGTTAGAGAGGAGATGATTCTTCCAAGACTGGTCATGAAAAAGCATTCTTTGTGATCCTTTCTTTATTCATGGGAGCATTGTCATGTAGCATTAAAGGATAGTTGGGAATACTTTTATACTCTCATTACAAAAATTGAATGTCAAGTGTACTTTTAAAGAGTTATCAGCTACTGTAATAATTCTACTTCCCAATACAAGCCAAGCAGCAAGACTTTGTTTGTATAATTACTGTGTACCACAGGGGGAACAGACTCGACAGTCAAACATTTTTTTGACTGTGTCTAAAAGGATATGTCTTGGCAGTTGCATGTAGGTTTGTTGCTAGAGCAAATTGCCAGTGCTCAAACTCCACACAACGGTTACAATGCAGATACCAACTCAATTTGGCTTGTGATTATGTTCAGAAGAAAGTTTTTTTCTCAAAGGACTAAAACTATGGGTTTAATTTTAGTTCTATGACAGAGTCGCTGCTCTTACAGCCAGCATGGAGAGCATGATCTTCTGAAGGATAAACATCTTATTCAATGTGCCTTTTGTGAAAATAAATAAATAAATAAAATGCATACAAAAAATACTACAATTAAAATGATCCTTAGTGGAGCTCAACCTTTAACGGGGTGGATAGAGGTGTCCAAAAACGTTTGTCCTTCAGTCTTCTAATAAAGATAATTATAACATTACGTGTGTGTTTTGTTGATTGCGATGTTCTGTCATCACAGAGCTCCATCTATAGTTCACCACTGAGTCCATGTTGCTGTTCTTCTCTTGCCTGTAGGCTGCACTGTGGAGACCAGGCTGTCCTCTGGATTTACACTCACTTTAAAACTAAGCTGACACCTAACAGGAGGCATCCAATTCTAATAGAGGGAGGTCTGTGTCCTCTAGCACTTTGAGCTCCTCTAATCTCTTATTCATGCTTTCAAGGTTAGAGCCTGATGAGTTGGAGAACAGGGGTGAAGTGGGGGTGGGAAGAAAGCACTGGTGGATGAGAGATGGTAGGAGTTAGAAGGAAAGAAGATGGGGGGCCAAAAACCTTGACTCCCTCTCATCTTTCAATGAACCTATCACTGGATCATGCGGAGGAGAAGAAAGGCCCCCGAGTCCTGGAGCTCCACACAGACCAGGATCAAAGGGAATCTCCATCTGATCCAAATGTCATTTGAATGTTTTATGTTAGTCGGGGCATTGAGGTGAGGCTTGAATAAGACGTGGTTCAGGAGAGTCCTGATCAGAAGTGGTCCATTAATTGGGAGCCTTTTTCTCTGAGTCCATAAATTGCATATAAACATAATTTACATTTCTGAGCAAATATACAATATTACCTTGTGTTGTATGATCATATTTCAAAGTTTTGTTCATTTGCATTTTGTCTTTACATCAGTGACTGCAAAGGCCACACTATCACATTTCCACAGTAAAAGCTATAACAAACACACAGCTGTTGAATAATGGAGCCATGAGATGATGCATACAGCGTCCGCCCCCACACGCTTCTTTTTTTTTTCTTCACACATACCTTGTGTAACTGACATACCAAACAGGAAGAAGACTAATTAATTTGTGTCACTGAAAGGTTAAGTACAATGTACTGTATCTCTCACTTTGTTCCTTTCAATTCATCAGCTTTTAGCCTATTTTTATATGTTCACACTTACATCCCTCCAAGACGCACATTGTGGATAAACCTGCGTCCGGCACTGGAAATGCACTGATTCAAACATGAATTTCACTAATGCACAGAAACCTTTACAAAAACACAGGTTCTTACAGCTCTGACAAAGCCCTTCAAACATGCAGGAAGGCTATTGTATTCAAAATCATTGTTTCCTCAGAGGACAGAGAACAGGATGAGTGTATTTACAGTTTATTATGGGAATCCAGGGACTTGGATGAAATGTAAATGCACACGCATGCATGCATACAAACTTGATTTTGTCATGGTGTGCTGTTTCAGAACTTGACTTCGTTTGACACACTAACATTGTGGATACACTGACAAGCAAAGCATAACATGAATAACTAAGTACGCCTGAAAGGAATCACTGCACAGCCTATCTAAGCTTAAAGTCCAGATTTGAGACACAGCTTGTGTTTCTGTATAAGCTCTGATAAATGCTAGTTATCAGTGAATAGAGCCTATAAAGGGTTAACTTGTTCCAGCCAGAAGGGGAATGGGAGGAGACTATGAAGTCACTCCCGAAAGAGAAACTGAAAGAAAAAAAGAGACTCGCGTTTGAAACTTTTCTTCACATCTCTGCACGTTTTAGTGAATCCTTCAGAACAGGTACAGAGGCATGCTTCTTTTTTTTTTTTTTTTTAAGTTTGCAGTTTGTCTCGTCTTTTGTGTAAACTAGTTTGTTTCTGTAATTTCAAACACAGCAATAAGACTATAGTGACTTTATGCTGCTCTAATGCTTTCGTTTTCTGTCCTATATTCTAGACATGGCCTGTGCCGCAAGTCTAATGACTGAGGAGAACTTTCTTTGTTCTATCTGTCTGAGCGTGTTCACTAAACCTGTGTCCATTCCCTGTGGGCACAACTTCTGTCTTCAGTGTATCACAGACTACTGGGAAACTTGTGATATTTTATTCCAATGTCCGCTGTGCAATGAGAAATATTACAACAAACCAATGCTTCGGGTTAACAGTTTCATTGCTGAGATGGCGGGAAAGTTCAAGAACTCTGTTCAGAAAAAGGCTTGTGGTGACTCTGTACAAGCACAAAATGGAAACGTGCTCTGCGATCTCTGCACAGGGGCAGATAAGCTCCCAGCCCTCATGTCCTGCTTGGTGTGTCTTATGTCGTACTGTCAAACACATCTGGAACGTCATTTGAGCGTTTTAGCCTTGAAGAAACACAAGCTGATCCACCCAGTGGCAAACCTGGAGAGCAGGATATGCAAGAATCATGGTGAACCACTGGAGCTGTTCTGCAAGGAGGAGCTAATGTTTCTGTGTGAATCCTGTAAAGACAGTGACCACAAAACTCATAAGACAGTGACTCTAGAGGAGGAGGCTCAAATGAGGAAAACCCAGCTGGGATTAGAAAGGAAAGACACGGATCAGCTGATCCAGGTGCGTCAGCAGAAAATCCTCGAGATTCAACACTCGCTGGTGGCAAACAGAAACACTGCAGAGAAGTCACTGTTATGCAGCAGGCGTGTGATGACTGCTATGGTGGACTACATAAGGAGAAGCCAAGCTGAGCTGACTGAGATAATTGAGACGAGGCAGAAAAAAAATGAAACAGAAGCAGAAGGCCTCATTAATGAACTGGAGGAAGAAATTATGCAAATAAAGGAGAAAAATCAGCAGCTTAATGACATTTCACTAACCGATGACCCCTTCACATTCCTTGAGACTGTCCTTTCTCTCACCATTATTACGCCCGTAGTGAAGGACTGGTCTGCTGTGAATCCTATCGGTGACCAGTTTTTCACTGAGGTGCCCCTGGTCCAGCTGTGGTCAAAGGTCAAAAGAGAAATAAGCATGCTTTGTGATCCCAACTTGAAACAGATGCAGAGGCACGCTGTTGATGTGACCCTGGATCCTGACACAGCAAATGCTACTCTCAATGTTTCTGAAGACGGAAAGCAAGTAACACATGTAAACCAAAAGAAGAACGTGCCGAACAAACCAGCGAGGTTCGATCACGTCCTTAATGTGTTGGCCAAGGAAGGCTTCTCCTCAGGAAAATGGTACTATGAGGTGCAGGTAAAAGACAAAACACAGTGGGATTTAGGAGTTGCACTCCAGTCCATCAACAGGAAGGGAGATATAAGGCTGAGCCCGAACAACGGATACTGGACTATTTGGCTGAGAAAAGGAAACGAGCTCACAGCCAACGCAGGCCCTGCCGTTAACCTCGAAAGGAGCGAGATGCCTCAAAAGGTCGGGGTGTTTGTGGATTATGAGGAGGGTCAGGTGTCGTTTTATGATGTGGATGCTAGAGCCAATATCTACTCTTTCACTGGATGTAACTTCACTGAGAAGCTCTTTCCGTTCTTCAGCCCCTGTGCTAATGACGAGGGTAAAAACTCAGCCCCCTTGATCATCACTCCTGTCAAATACAACAGCTTGTGAAACACATGTGGTGAAGGAGCTGCTGAGGATTCCCATGCAGCCACCAGGACATCCACACACACCTCTGTGGGATTATGATATAGCTATATATTTCTGTGGTTTGAAAAAGAGATTTGTATGAGCTGGCCATTAATTTTAATGCTTGCTACAAAGCTGCTTTCGCCTGCCAATGTGGCCATAGCAATGCCAGAGCTGCTGTATAGCAGTCACAAATATTCTAGGCATTTGTTTTGTGTTGTTTGGACTTTTGCGAGACGAAGACTGTTCACTTAAGACATGATGGATGGGCTCGCTTCTTATGGTGGGATTAAACAACTATTACTGTTTTCAGAAAAGACTCGCTTAATCAGCACTCAGGTGCAATGACTAAATAATAGCATCCGGAATCTATTAAAATAAATTGAAGGGCTCTTATTCCTCTAATGTAGCTGCAGATAAGAATTGTTTTCTCCACAAATTTAATGTTATTTAGTTAAAAGGGAAATTGCTGAATGGATCTGTCACAAAATTGGAGCCTGACTGGCACCTAATGCAATGTCCTCTAATTAAAAATTAGACAAACTTGCAAGGTGCAGGCTTTCAGAGTTCAAATGCAGCAAATCCGTTTGAGAGAATTAAGCAGCCATTTATGAGTGCAGTCAATTAGGGTCTCATTGTTTTCCTTTTTCTTTGTTTAGCGTTATACGTCTTTTTTGTTATGTTGTTAATCTGCTCCATCTTCTGTATTGGCTTGTATGATTTCATTTACACATTAAATAGTTGAATAGATAAAGAAGACAGATGGATAGAGCTGGTAAAAATGCTCCTGAATTGCTAAGATGCCAGAGCTGTGACGCTGGCCAAGACACCATGATGAGCTTCTGGAGGAAACCCTTGTAAGGTGAATATCAATTAATCACTGTTGATTAAAAAACATATGTTACTTTACCTTTATGTTTTACATATTCAGTATTGTTTACATGAAATTTCTCTCACATATGTAAGTGTTTAGGTCCTAAAACTATGTTAGAAAGTTGATCTGCAGCCTTTTTTCTTCGTTATATTTGATTTTCCGACTATTGGTTGAATGAAAAAAGCAATTATTAAAGATGTCACTCAGACACAGAAATAATTTTCTTTTTTCTGACTTTGTGTTGTTCTTTGAATGCATGAATGTTTGTACTGTAGAAAGACAGAAAGACAAAATTGAGGTGAAAAATAAATAGAGATGCAATAAAGTTGCACACAGTTCTATGTGGATTTGTCGTGATTTCTTCATCTGAACCCACCCTCGATAAACATTCAAAGCAAACTGAGAAATCCTGCCAACAGACAGTGAAGATGCCGAACGCTGAATTACTTCAATATGCAATTAAAGCGCATCTGTCACTTTGCAAAATATAAACACAAATTAGAGACTCTCCTGACAGCCTGAGATTCCCACAACATACACTTAGCAATTTTGTAGCCACCACTTGCAAAAATAATCTATCAAGAGTCTCCCCCAGTGTGATTTAAAAAGCAAAACTAATGTCAGCTTTGCCTGTCACAACCAGGGGAATGAGCTTTTAATGATGTGACATAGACACTTACATGCTATGACTTAAATGGCAGCATGTTATTTCCAAAACAGGAAAGCAAATATGGTGTTGCATGAATACAAATTTGGAATTAATGTCAGCTTGGTTTTTCAGCTAATGGTCAATATTTAAAATTTTTCTAAAGAAAAAGGGGCTTTACAAACAAAGTAAAACAACAAGTAATGACTAAAAAAAATTTAAACATGCATTCAAAAAGAAACTTCACTAAAAATATCAACAGTACTCGTTGTGCGACAGAACAGTTTCTCTCTCTGGTAACTACTTTATAGTGGATTCATCTATAACAATGGGTCATATTTTACAAACTGGTGACATGTTTTGTATAGAAAACCTGGAACTTTAAGATATCTGTGAAATAAAAGATGAGTGGAACACTGGGATACTCAAGTAAAGTGCCACATAATTGTACTTGGCTTTGCACAAATGAACTGAGCTACATTCCAGAGCTATTTCTGGCCAGAGAGGTCATCAGCAAAATCTGGTGCAAGAAACTGGCCCTGGCATTTTATGGTCTCATCCATTTTGGCTCTTAAACTTTTTTTTCCCCACAAGAAAAAAGCCAGTGGACTGATCTGTTTGTGGGGTAGTCAAAAAAGAAAATAGTTGTATTGGCCCAGAAGGCACACTGGAAAGTGTCCAGTCTGCAGCATGGCCAGTCCAGCCCTGGGTTTGGTACTCACTTCTATCAGATAATTAATAAATCTGTAGGAATAGAAGTTAGTCAACTAATATCATTTTAAAATTGTATCTACATGTCTGAATGCTCTAAAATTGTTAGAAAAGCTCATAAAACACAAAAACAGCCTCAGTCACCTGTCTTCTATTACATAGACTGATCAGCCACAGCAATCAAACCACAGACAAGTCGAGAGAATAATATTGCTCATGTTGCTACATCACAATGTTCTCCTGGGGAACCTTGGGTCTTGGCATTCAGACAGCAGCAGGACAGTGTGTCCTGTCACACTGCAAAAACTGCTCAGGAACAGCTCAAGGAATATGAATAAGAGCTGAAGGTAAATACTGAACAGTAGAGAGAGAGACTCGTACAAGAGAGCCTGACTCTTACAATGGTTAATGTACTTTAGACTGCATTATGGCTGCAATATGTGTTTTTTAATATATTTCATTTTTCACAAGGCATGACACATCGTAACTTTTTTCCAACCCATTCAATGCTGAAAAGCAAGCCTCATAAAGATATTGTGGTTTTTGTATAGCAGCCCTACTGCATTTATAACATGCTCCAGTTTATTAATGTCATGGAAACGGGCTAAACACAAAAGGTGCTTGACACTGTTTTCAACTAGTCTTCGGTGAGGTTTCTCTAAAATTAAAAGCATCATCCCAGAGAGCGCGCTGTAGTCCTGCCAGTGCAATACGACAGATGTTGCTTTGTCAAGCTAACTGAGAAAACATATTTACCTGCAATTGATTTAGTCAATGAGTAAAGTCAAGGTTTTTAAACACAGCAACAGCTTTTCAACTGCTCATTCTGTTCCCTTGCTTTTGTTTAGCCACAACACAAGTACAGAGAGAAGGCCATCCTGGATGACTGTGAAATGCTGATACCAACAGGAAAAAGGACAATTCAAGCAGTTTGTATGAGGCCCGGGGCAGTCTTTGTTATTCATTATTTGAAAAGAGACGTTGGTGACGAGAAGAGTGAATAATGAAAAGCTACATGTCTGTGGTCTTTTCATTAATTACTTTACAGCTAATAAATACTGTAGTTGGCTTTATTAGTACCCCTGGCAACTACAATAATAGACAGTATTTTCACAACTGGGTCTCCATAGAGCTGCATAGAACCTTTACTACTATTGTAGAATTGAATACTTGCAGGTCTGTTCATCAAGAACTATTGGGTTGGAGTGTCTGGGATTGAAGAGAGGCCCTGACGTATGCACAGAGGCAATAATGTAATTGGGAGATGGAGCTGATATGTCATGATATGTTGCCTGGTACATTTCTAGACATGCTCTAGAGACGCTTGGTCAGTCAGTTTGCTCCTTTGGTCCAAAGTGAAATATCTCAACAAACTACTTCATGCATTGCCATGCAATTTGATTCAGATATCCATGTGTTGACCCCATCTCTTTTCCTCTCATGACTGATAGTTTAGCAAAGATCTGAGCCTTGTACATCTGCAGTCTCAGTATACCCGCCTTCCTCTTTAGTGCATCCATACACTGTCACAGATTTGGAGAAATAGTTGCACTTTCAGTGGCTGTTGAGCTAATTAGAAATGAAGCTGTAAAGCATTTAACTATATTTCACATTCAAGGAAATTTGCAGAGACATTAAAGTACACACACAAACAGAAAAAGAGTGATCGATAGAAAGACAGACAGGTGTGTGTATTTACATGTACATAGAATTTTAGAAAATGCTAATAATGACTTATAGTCTTCCTAAATGTTCACGTACACAATAGATTTACTTTTCCTTCCGTGTAACAATAATTCTGAGGCCTCTCAGGTCTGAGCAGGTTGATAAACTAGTTTAACAGTCGTTCTGACGTTTGCCTCACCGTCTTGAAGTTCGTTAGATTATAAATACACCCAGAGTACACTGGTCTAGGTCATTATATTGCCTTAATGAATGACAGTGTATGAAAAATAGTACAGTACAGTTGTGTACGTGTGTGTGCTTGTGTCTGTGCTTCTGCCGGGGCACATGCCATTTGTCCAACAGTATGTGTATCTAATGAAGTGCCAAATGTAATGAGATAAATCTATCCATTAGGGTCCCTTAACAAGGCTAAATCCACATTGCTGTTAATGAGTCAGTGCTCCATCAGTCCTCCTCAGAGAGCCGGAGGACCTGACTGAGGCTGGAGACGACCCGGAGCCAGACAGAATCAAAGCCTCTCAGCCAGCAAATGCACAGCTCCAGCTGCTGTACTGTAGACCTGCATCAGTTAGCTGTCTGTCCTTCTGGGAGTGACTTCAAGTTAGCAAGCAGCAATAACTTATAGAGACTGGAGTCATAGCCAGCACAGGAACACACTAATCATCTGTAATCACAGATCTGCCATAACTGGGCCATACTCATTAGCCTGATGGAACAATGCTCTGTAGAATTCTGTTGTTTCTGAGCCATTATTAGCCTTCCAGCTACTGCTGTGCTAAACATGTGTTCTCTTCACACGATCTACATAATGTGCAACATGTGACTAATGGAACAGCACAGGGCTGAAAGGATTATTCAAGAAACTGGAAAAATGTGAATGATAAAAAAAATCGTTTCAACCATGGAACTAGTATATCACAAAGAAGTCCATACATATGTGTTGCTGTCACATCAAGTGCTGATGTGCATTGACCTTGCAAGTTGAAAATGGAGGAGAGAGAAAAGAGAAAGAAGAGAATCTAGCACTAACAGACCATTAAAGTTTTAGGAACATTTCTATTTTTGTAAATTGCTTCAGTGAACCTTTAGCCATGGCTCGGTTTACGCTAAATAAGCCTTGCTAACCACAAGGATTGCCACCTACCAGCATTATACTAGTTTTGAAAAGCCTGCCAATTAAACTTGCAATGCAGTTTATACGAACAACTGCAGTGGCGTGCAAATACTCAAATACATGCAAACGCTGAAACAATACCAACAGCACATTATTCTAGGTTTTTATGATGGAATTTTTATTACTTTTATTACTGTGCAATTGTAAATAAAGCCAACTGAGATCTGGTCTACAGTCTAATTCTCATTTATATGCTTGCTTTTTAAGAACAGGAGTCTTGAACAGCTCTAAAGGATGTACTAGAAGCACAGCAGTGCTTTGGAATAAATCTTAAATTCAGTGTGTTAACATGCTCACAGTGATGATGTTAATGTGAGTGTTAATGTTTAGTGGGTTAAATTTAGCGTAGATTAAAAATGTATTACAACTACATATCCAGCACCTATTTTACTAATAGCCTTATACCGACCCACTAAATAAAGTAAACAGGGTTGTGTTACTACAGCTGCATAGTACCCTGTATGAGTACATAAAACACGGACAACATTCACTGCACAATATCTGTTTATCACCTTTATGTTTAGGTGTAGAACTGGAGCAAAGAGAGAGGTCTGTCATTGAATGCAAGTGAGGCATATCATGTAACACATGTCATAAAAAGACCAACTAAATGTGCTTCACAACATCAAATCTATTTCTCGGGTAACATTGTGTGTTACAAAATTTTAATTCCTTTGGGCAATTTCATGACATTGATTCAAATAATATTACTTTAATATTCAAAAAAATGACTTTTCTTATTGCCAGTTTCTTATTGGCTTTCCTCAAAACTGTGCCAACGTGACAGTAGTGCACTTATACAGCATTAATGGCACATTTAAAATCAAAGTGTTCATGACTTCAGTCACTGACAGAGTAAAATATAATGCTTGAGTGACTTTGCTCTCTACCTCTAAGATGGAGGAGACAAAACTGTGTGGCTTTTCCAGTGACAGATCAGATTTGTGCTCCACAAAGGCTTTGATCTTAAAGCTTTCTGACAGGCTTTAATCTGAGCAGACCACACACACAAAGACACACATATCCTTTCACTGAGGCCACAATATACAAAACAGATGAGTTCCCACTGTCTGTGGTGTGAGAAAAGTCAGTATGTGTGGATGGTGCTACAGCAAACACACTGC